GAGTACTACTACCCACAGCAGTCGTCTCCATCGAACACCGAGGAGAACTGTTTAAACTTCGGGCCTTAATAGACCAAGGATCACAATGATCTTTCATAGCGTCTAGGGCTTAAAATAGGCTACAACTGCCAACAAAACTACCCAATTTTGAAATCACGGGAATAGGCGGAAGAGTAGTCCAAAACTCAAATAAAATCTGCCCAATTACCTTAATTTCCCCCCAAGCAGATAAGCACATACAAGCAGAAGCTATAGTCTTACCGCAACTTACAAATTTGCTTCCAAGCTATCACATAAATAGCAAGCATTGGCAAAAGGTTTCACACCTAAAGCTAACAGATCCCAACTGCAACACTCCTGCTCAAATAGATCTTCTATTAGGCAGCGATCTCATACCACAGATAATACTCGAAGGTATTGAGAAAATTTCAAATACACTTCTGGCACAAAACACTATTTTTGGGTAGATCCTAAGTGGGATAGTTTTGGAACTAGTTACCACCATGACCACTCAGGTTGAGGAAATCTCAAACGAATAATTCAATTCACAATTGAAAAAATTTTGGGAGTTAGAAGAACTCCCCCCATATCAATCACAACCGCTGAAGATCAGTATTGTGAAGACTTTTACAAAGCCACAACTACTAGATCAGATAATGGTCGGTACGTCGTACGACTACCACTAAAACAACAATTTCCTAACACAGTCGCCTTAGGTCACTCTCGCACCTCTGCAATACAGCAGTTTTTAAGTATGGGAAAAAACTTATTTAAAAAAGGTGAGCTTGAGCCAGAATACGATGGCGTGTTAGAAGAATACCTCCATTTAGACCACATGGAGGAAGTAAGCCCATGCGAAAAAATCATAAATGGCAAATATTACTCATTTTACTTGCCTCATCACGCAGTAGTAAAGCCAGACAAAAAAACAACTAAGGTAAGAGTTGTCTTTAATGCATCAAGATCCACCAGCTCGGGGAATTCCCTAAATGATATCCTATTTACGGGACCCACGCTCCAACCAGATTTAATGCTACTCATTTTAAATTGGCGTATATTTAAATACGTATTTACTTACGGAGACGTCGAAAGAATGTATAGACAAATAGTAGTACATAAAGACGATCAAGATTTTCAGCGAATTATTTTCCGAAAATTTCCCAATAGTCCACTACGCGACTATAAACTTAAAACAGTTACCTTTGGCGTCAACTGTGCTCCATATTTAGCCATTCGAACACTCCAGAACTGGCAGAAAACACAAAGTCAGAATTTCCTCTGGCAACCAAAGTGTTAAAAACACAAACATATGTAGACGATATCTTGTCTGGAAGTCACAGTCTGCCACAAGCATACGAGTCACTATCACAAGGGGTAAAAGCCCTCAAAACCGCAGGCTTTCCGTTGAAAAAGATGACGGCGAACCACCCTAATATTTTAAAAAATATACCACATGGAAATTTGTTAGATACTAATTTCCTTAAATTCGAAAAGGAAAGTACAACAAAAACTCTGGGGATCCAATGGAATGCGATATCTGAGCAGTTTTTATACACGACAGAGTCAATATCTGCGTTATCCGCCATAACAAAGCGACAAATTCTATCCTCTGTGGCAAAACTTTTCGACCCCGCAGGATGGCTTTCGCCAATTATGATATAATAAAAGCCAAAATCCTAATACAAGAATTATGGTTAGATGGAACCGACTGGGACGAACAAGTAAAACCACTTCGTTTAGAAAAGTGGTCGCAGTTTGCGAGCAATCCAAATGATATCGCACAGACATAAGTCCCACGAAGGGTAAATTATGCCCCAGAGCACAAAGTCGAACTACACGGCTTCTGTGACGCTTCTGAAAAGGCATATTGCGCAACTGTATATGTTCGCACACAAAGCGACACTGCGACCACATGCCACTTACTAGAAGCAAAAGCAAAAGTGGCTCCTTTAAAAACAATAAGTCTACCACGACTTGAATTATGTGGAGCGCTACTACTAGCCAAACTCGTGTCCATCGTACAAACGCATTTAAACATGGCTCAATATAAATTATATCTATGGTCCGATTCCGAAATTGTACTAGCCTGGTTAGAAAAACCACTACATGCATGGAAGACGTATATATCCAACCGAACGCCTCAAATACTTGACCTAGTAGGATCAGCCACTTGGCGACATGTAGCCAGTGCTGACAATCCTGCTGATCTAGGTACAAGAGGATGCAAGCCCCTGCATCTTGCCACCACCACCCTCTGGTGGAATGGCCCCCGATGGTTAACAGAATCTCCCGATTCTTGGCCACAATCACCCATGCGCAATATAATTGCCCCAGAAAGTCGAAAATTCGACTCTTTTCACACAACCGTGGATGATACTGACATCCTCGAACGATTTTCATCGTATCCCTGAGCACTCAGGGTAATCGCTTACATGCTCAAGTTCATAGAGCAACTCAAAATTAAACTTAAGGGAGTAACTTCATTACACTCCCAATGCGATACAGTGACGCATCTAGACTTACAAAAAGTAAAGGTCGCTCTTATCGCATCTACGCAAGCGCGCTACTTCAGCCGCGATATATCACTTTTGAGAGAATCAAAACCTATTGACAAGAGAAGTCCCCTCTTAGTTCTAAACCCATTCCTCGACACGAAAGGTCTTCTTCGTGTGAATGGTCGGCTTGCCAATTCAAGCCTAACGTATAACGAACGCCATCCCATAATTGTTCCAGAGAAGTCCCGACTTGCCACACTACTCATCAATTATGTCCACATATTAATGCTTCATGCCGAACATTTTTACATTCCCCGACTTAAGCCCCAAATAAAGAAGTGCATTTTCTTGTGCAAAATCTGTACCACGCACAAGCAAAAGATGAGAACACAGATTATGGCAGCACTTCCCCCGGAACGCTGCAACTTCGCTCTGCCTTTCTCCATCACAGGTGTCGACTTTGCTGGGCCTTTTCAAATAAAGGCGTCCATGTTAAGGTCTCCCACTCTGATGAAAGGCTATGTGGCTGTTTTTGTCTGTTTTACGACAAAAGCAGTGCACCTTGAGCTTTGTACTAATCTGACGAAGGAGGCTTTTCTAGCGGCATTAGCTCGCTTCGTCGGTCGACGCGGCTTTCCATCGAAGATCATGAGCGATAATGGTAAAACATTTATCGGTGCTCAAAGAGCCCCCGAAAAGCAATTTGTGGACTTTATCAAACAAGTCTCACCTGAGATTGTACAAAAGTACGCGCCCCAAGGCATTAATTGGCAATTCATCCCCCCAAGCGCTCCTCATATGGGTGGTTTATGGGAATCAGCTGTAAAAAGCTTCAAATCCCACTTCAAAAAAGTAGCTGGAAATTACAAATTCAATTACGAAGAATTCACGACATTATTAATTCGAATTGAAGCCGTTCTCAATTCACGGCCTCTTACAATCCTCTCGCAAGATCCCTCCGATTTCACTGCCTTAACTCCAGGGCACTTTCTCAAAGGAACACCCATTCTGGCCATACCTGAGCCAGGCGTGGAGTCGCTATCCTTATTAAATCACTGGGAAAGAATTAAAATTATCCATCACGATTTTAGCCGCCGATGGAACGAAGAATACATAAAGGATCTCTAAAACAATTTCTCCCAACCGCCGATAATAGTGACACAGCAAATCGCAAACAATCAACCGATACTACCGCAATCCAATAAAATAATCAAATCAATAAGCAAAAAACCGAAAAACGCGTTAATAACCGTTAAAAATAACAAATAACTAATAAAAAAATGGTCGATCAATACGATGACCCATTCATGCCACATAACGTGGCACGATCATCCATATCCTGCATAATTAAACAACTCTTTCATACAGATTAACATGGATGTGGATACGCCAACTGTGCGGTCGGCTACCAACGTGCCACGCACGGGGCCTACCCCAACGCCCCGATCTGCAGCTGCAACTGCCCCTGCAAGCGCACGTGCAACGACACCGATGTCAGCACCAGTTCCTCGCGGTGGCACGCGACCTTCACCGACGCTATCATCGCCGCCTTCAGAGGCACATCGTATACGATGTCCAATTTGTCGGCGCCCACATCGCCTGCAACATTGTGGGATTTTCAGAAGTATGCGACCGTTGCAACGACAACAAGTTGTCCAGCCAGGGTGGCCGGGATGGCTAAATGACCACTCAATCCCCCCTCACCGTAAGACACTGTCACACTACACCAATTCACATCCACATCACCACACCTACTTACCATATATTCCCATACATTCCACACCTACATACCATACATTCCACATCACTACACCATGCACCAACACGCACACAAACACAACTTAACACCGATCACACCACCATACAGACATCAGCAGATATATAAGGGACTAAAAGAAGGATCCCGCCCGCTTTTTAGCATTTCGAATCAATCGACTCTCTTTCTTTTTTAATTATTATTTGCTAACGGTGAGTGAAGGTAAAATTAACTTAATAAGTAATTAAATACCGTGGTACCAGAAAGTCTCCGGTAAGACTGTGTAGCCGAAACTACTGCCAGTTGAGCTACCCATTACTCAATGACTCAGTGACATTTTTCGCTTGAACTTCAAATGTCTTTTTATTTGCTTTTCCATTTAAAGTCTATAATATTATTTCAAGCTGAGTATTATAGCACTATTTTTGACATACTAAGCTGATATTACTGAGCAAGGTACATAATAACAGTCATGCCTTACCGCGGGTAAATTCTTACCCCTACCCGCAGGGGGAATTCACAGGTGTCAGTAAGAGAGAAAGTGTTGTCATGCTTCGGATACCAGTTATTCCTTCTGCCCTTCCATTTCAATTCAAAAAGATTCAGTTTCCCGCCAAGGTCAACTTGCTGTTACTTCTTTTTTTTTTTGTAATTTAATGATCTTTGATATTAATTGGAGGAATTTATTGCGAGCGAAGTCGCGAGTAAAGCTAGTATATAATATATAGAAATAGAAGGAAGTTACTTACGAGTTACGGCAACAGCGCATAAGGAGGATATTTCGCCTAGGAGATTTGAAATAATAACCTTATATGCACCAGAGTCGGACGGTTGAATATTCGCTATTTCCAATGTTAAAAGCCCGCTGGGGGAGGATGTAAGTCTTATGCTAAAAATAAACAAATAGTTATACATAATTTGCTTTAAGATTTTTAAGATTTCAAACTGCTTCCCAATGCATATTTACAAGGCGCAGACATATAGTACGTAATTGAACATACTCGTATGTATATGGTTTTATTTTGAGTGTTTATTACTTCATATATAATATAAAGTAGCAAAGAACATATATAAAGTATATTATATAATGTGGTAAAGAAAATGGTCATGTCAACATATTTATTGGGTTATTTTGCATCATATGGTAAGGGTATAACAATATAAATGATTGATTTGTTTACCTATACTAGCTATATTCGGAAGAGCATATACGTATTGAAATAACATATGATCACAGTTCCATTAGAATCATCGTTGCCGTTTTGGCCCGACCTGACCAAAGTTGGTAGTTTCAGTTGCTTTTGGTAGTTTGGTTTTTAAACAAAAATTTTCTTGGAAATATTTTCCAGATGTATGTACAATGAAAGTTAGTCTTGAGATTTATTCTCCTAAAATTGCATTTTGTTTTTTGCTTGCTATTCATAGTAAATAAAAAATAGCAACCATGTGCCTAATATGGGCAAAATCAAAGGTCTAGCTATAATTGTAACTGTGAACAATAAATGGAAGTTTGAATTTGATATTTTCACGCATTTCTTCAACTTCATACATCAAAGGAAAGAAAAAGGAACTTCATGGAGAATTAAATTCTTTAGTTTTACTTTAAATAATTGTTAATATTACACTTTCCAATCGTTTTTTAGTTGATATCGACGTCAGATAAATGACGAAATCGACATTAAAAGTTACATAAGTTTAAAACATGTACAAAATGAAATTTCATACCACAATACAGCTTTGAAATATAATATAGTTTTAGTTGGCTATTTATGGCTGCTATTCGATTAGCGGTTTTTATACTTTCGCAACTTGTTGCTACAGTATAATAGTTTTGTTCACCTAACGATTGTATGTATCACCTAAAACTAATCGAGTCGGATGAAGAGACGAGTTGGAATCCGGGTGACTATCTCTCCGTCCGTCCATCCGTCCGTCTGTGCAAGCTGTAACTTGTGTAAAAATTGTACACATGTTTCTTGGTACCGTAAAACGGTTGGTATTGCAGATGGGCGTAATCGGACCACTGCCACGCCCACAAAACGCCATTAATAAAAAACAAATAAATTGAAATAACTAAGCTCCACAACAATATACAATACTCTTTTTTGGTATACAGGGTCACTTTCTAGTATGCAAATCAAGCAACAATGATCATATCGGCGTAAAACTTTGCGTGAATAATACGTTTAAAGTATGCCCGCATGTGACCAAAAATTATCTAAATTGAACCAAAACTGTTCAAGCCCCTTGGTACTGAATATATGGACCCCAGTACCTTATATTGACTTTTTACCGAAAATATCGGTCAACATTGAACAAGGCGGCAAGATCCACAAAGAAATCTAAAACGAGTATACAATTTGACTTTGCGAGAGTATAAAATGTGCGGTTACATCCGAACTTAGCCCTTCCTTATTTGTAATTTACAGTTTATGACTGCCAATTTGTGGATACGGGACGAAGAAAATCAAATTGAATTCATCATAACAAAACGAAGTAAGTGATATATAAAAAAGGATATATTTCCATTTTTTAAAACATTATTTACTTCGCTTTTTCTGAGCATTTTATAGATATGATTTAGATTTATGCTATGTATGTTGAATCAGCTGTTTAATTGCCGAAATATAATACAGAGTGTTCATACGTTCTTAATTTTTACGGAGAAATGTTACGTATGCGCTAACATACTCTGTAACGCATGGGAAATTGTGTTGTTATTATTTCTTTGGAAGAAAAATGTACCTTTCCACGCCAAAACATTTTAGTAGCGGTTTTCTATAAACATGTATGTAATTATTTCAGTTTTAAATTTTTAAAATCTATTGAAAAAGTCTTTGAATATGTCATTTGAGTCATTCACAATGATAAAACTGGTGTAAACTGTAAAACAAAAGTTGGTAGCATTGCCTTTCACATATAGAATTTTTGATGATAGAACAGCACTCAAAGATAGCGGGTAGAGAAATGGCAAGGTTTCTGCAGAATTGGCTTGTTTACACTTACTGTTCACTTGGCTTCAATTGCTCGCCATCCCTAATCCAACTAATTATTGGAAGTGGACTTCCAATAACTTTACATTGTAGAACCAAATCTTCACCTTGACATACTTCTTTAGCGTTGTCAAACTTGGTTTCGAACTTTGGAGCTAATTCGAACAGTGAAAGTTTAAACGGAGCTTCAGTCACACCAATTTCATTTTTAGCAACAACAGTGTACTAAAATAAAAAAATTAATTAAATAACATTTGCAACATAGATAAAAATGTTACCGTTCCGGCATTCGAGGATTTAAAATGAGAAATTTCAAATTGGCTGCTCAATTGATCAGAATCTGGAGATGATTGTTGTATCATATATATTGATTCTTCATTTTCAGTGGTTTGGGCTCCATCAACAATAATTTTATCACCTCTCTTCCACTCAATTGTTGGTTTTGGTATTCCATGTGCTAATACATTGACATTCACTGGGAGATTGTCCAGTATTAACTGATCTTCAGGTGGTGTGATAAATGTAGGCTTTTCCACTAAAAATATAAACATATATATAATATTTGTTTTCAATAGTTATGGTTTAAGTAAAAAAATTGGAAATATGGTGGTCATAAAAAATAGTGGCAGCACATTCAATACCATTATTTTTTCTCACAAAATGTGTATATACGTATTGCTAATATTATATTATTTTAATATAGTTATGAACAGTTACAAAAAAAAATTGTTTTTAAAGCGGAATTTCCAGAATTTCAGCTGAAAGTAGCTGAACTCATGTAATTTCATTTAATTAACCCACCTTTCACGTTTAGATGAAAGCTTGAAAGAGACAAGCCTTGGTCATTAATTGCAGTTAATGAATACAGTCCATCCTCTTCTGGCTTAACACATTGAAATACTAATCTGTATTTATCATCCTCAATGTCGGCAATCACTTCGCAGTTTTCATTGTTGCACAAATTTTCGTTTCCTCGAGTCCACGTAACTTTAGGCTTTGGATTCGCTAGTATGATGGCATCAAAAGCAATGGTGTCATTCGGAAGACAGCACTGATCTTTTAAACCCATAATTTCGGGTTTTGATAATACATCAATCCATCCACTAGTACTGATTTTGCCATATTTATTTTCTATCTGCAATTCATATCGGCCAGAATCTTTGTGTTGAACTGGAAAATATACAAAATGTTGATAGTTGTTATTTATTACAAATACATAATTGTTAATTGTTTATAATGAGCTCTACCAAGTAGTTCAGTAAGTTCAAGACTGTTATAGAGAAGATCGCGCACGCAACGCTAACATAGCGCTTCAAAGTAATTGTAAACAAAGTCTTCCCCTTAATAAATGTTTCTGCTACAGAAAAAAAGAGTGTGTAGTTATGCGAAACAACGAAAACCATTTTACCGATTTTAGGCTTTCAATTGAAAACTTTCGGATATTCATTCAGCTTCAGCTTGTTAAAATTGTGTCTTTAATGTTAACTTAATAATTAATAAGGGAAATGAAAATAGTTATGCGTATTAAAGTACAGACTACTAAAATACAATCATTCAGCTATAAAAATATGTATGGAAATCACCGGATAAAATAATATGTATGTTATTTACGAATTATTTCTCGAGAACGGAAAATTTGTTCCGAAGGCATAGCATGAAGTTTAATGAAAACCCTAAATATCCATAATGCGATATCTCAGGTATAATTATAGGATGAAGACAATAATATTTAGGATAGATTCGTTCAAATCTTCATATAAAGATAAAATTATGTACATATTCATATATCAAATGCAAGTATTATGGAAGAAAGCTAGCACGTTGACTAAAAAGGAAACGAAAGGGTGCGTTCGAGATGGAATCACGACAGCAGTGTTGCAAATTTGTCAAAGTATCACGTTCTGCGTGAGTTTTTGGCAACACTAGCATCACGTTCTACTGTCACTTTTTGCTCGCAATTTATGCAAATAATCGACAACACTAAATTTTTGTCTGCACATCAGCAGAGTATCAGCAAACATGCAACACAGTAGCTGTACTGCTGCAATTATTAGGTAGCTCGAACGCACCCAAAGTATTTTCGTAAACTTGTATTTATTTGACGAATGTATTTAATTAACAAGACATACATTAATATGTCACAAGAGCTAAGCTGAGGTTTTTCTATTTTTTTTGCAGAACTCAGAACCTAAATGTATAAAGTTTGAAGTCGGAACATGCAGTGTTACAATTAAACCGCTTTTGAGGGCCGAACAGGTTTTGGTGCCTTCATGTCTTATGAAATAATAATTATAAAGTAACGTTGAATACCAGTCTACATTTTCATTATTTGAAAACAAAAGTAACGTGTAATGCCAGTTCACACTCTGATGTGTTCAAAATTTAAAAAATTGTTAATCAATTAAAACAAGCAAGGAAAGACTAAATTCGTGTATATCCGAATAATATTATATAAAAAGCAGGGGAAATATATCCAGGTGTTGCCAAAATGTAAATATGAAGGGCTTATTTCGATTGTAACCGAACATTTTATACTCCCGTAATTTGCAAAAATCAAAGGCAGGACATATTTTCAGCCATTGATATATTCTAATTACTTAGCACTGTAACCAAAAAATTGTAGTTATAGTAAAAACTTGTGAACCTGTAAACAATAAGTAGAAATTGAGATGTCAGTGTGTTTCCTGGAACCCTGAGAAAGTTGTTATTGCAAATGATGAAAATGGAATCAAACCATTTCTTTTTGGTAACTCATTCACTTTAAGACAATTTGTGCTGAAAGCACATGGCACTCCATCATCATCATCTGATAACAAATAAGTTTCTACGATTCTTCTTCTCTTTATAGCACTATTAGAATTATTGTTTTTTAAAGCACCTTCACTTTCTGAATCCAAATCTTTGCACAGTAAATTATTTTTTGTTACCTGTGTCGCTGTCTGAGGTAATTCCAGTGTAATCTTTGTCAGACATATTAAAGATTATAATTAGAACTTAAGAAACTATTTAAATTATAATTAATAAATACAACTATTTTTATTGCACTGTTATAGAATACAAGAAATTTACTTATTGTACTAAAAACACTTTCATATTACCGAAGAAACGACAATTTATAATTTATAATTTGGGGCAGGGATCTAGAACATTAGTAGATATAACGATGTTAATGAAAAAATAATTTTAGTAATTACCAATTATCAACCAATAGTGTACCAAAGCGGTAAAATGAAATTGCACAAATAGACATTTGAATTTAGTAATTAAAATATTAAGAGATGTAAATATGAAAATATTTTTCAGGAAGTCAAAATTTTACCAAGGGGAGGTATAATTTTGAGAATATGTAATGGGTAAAAATTTTGTCAATACGGACTCTGGAAAGATCGAAGTCATACAGAATTATCCAATATCCAAGACGTTGCGGCCATTGCAAGGGTTTCAAGGATTAACCGGTTATTCAGTGAAAACTATGCCGTCATTTCAAAACCACCTGGCTCTTGCCAGGGTGCATTAGGACGGCATGTTAGATGTTCTTACTGGACACTGTTCCATAGGCCCATATGCGGTGAGGTTAAATATCTTGTCGGACGCGAATTGCCAAACTTATATGTAAAAGGGTGAGTTGGAATCATCTAGATACTTTACTTTCAACTGTCCAGCTTTTGGCAGACTGAGGTTGAAATATCTCGATAGACACTCGGTGTACTTGGTGAACTTGCTGGGATTGATATTAGCCGCTTTAACAAATTTTTGGTAGACTCAAAGCGCTTCGTCGATCTACAAGGGTCTGGTCATCCTTATCTAGGAGTTTTTAGGAATCACAAAGGCACAGCATTTACAGCTGTTTATTTGGGATCTGCGTCATCTTTGGAGCCAGGATCAGCCCTACTACTTAACATTACCTAGTATTGCACACTACGCCCTATATTAATGAAGGGCTAGGTGGCTATATTTGTTTGTTTTTAAACCAAAGCAGTGTACCTTGAGCTATGTATATCACTAAGAGCACATCATTTGATCCCTAAACTGTCCACTTCCCAGAATTTAATCCGGAAAGTTTATCTTTTTTATAATGCTTGAGGAGCGCATTCAAGAAAATGTCATTCAACCACCACACATTTGTGGTCACTTTAAAACTAATCTGAAATATTCTCAATTAAATTTCTAAAAAGCAACGGCACTGAAAAAGAAAATCTGTTAGAATTAAAGCACTCAGTAGGCAAGCCATAAAAACTTAATTAATGCAAGATTCTTAACAAGATTAATAATAATCCTTTAACAAGTTTGAGACAGTTTGTATCTGTCTTGGATGACGAATTTTTTTTCCCCCTTATAGTATTATGAAAAAAGACAACTAAAAATATTAATTTCTGTTTTCAATTTGCAAAGAATTCCATGACACAATGTTTAGGAAACAAATGTACCGACTGTATTCACATTAGAGAGTAGCGAATTGAACAGACTATACATCTGTTGTTCAAACAGATTGAAAAAAATTGCGATGTAACCTTACGGTAACTTGTCCTCTTGTCAAATAACATTTTTTTAATCTTTTGATTTCGAGTAACGGCCTTGTCTTATGTCTTCTATAAACAATTATATATTATTTCAATCACTGCTGACACTTCAAAATTTTGAAATCAGTAAAACACTATTTTTTATAGTAATTCGATATTTGAACTTTATTAAGGAACAATTAAGCAAGCAGAGTTGTAACATCTGATTTTGCGCGAGTGTGAACACAATTCGAATGATGCTCATGTTTCCGGTCAAACATTTGATTTTCGCATACATTTTATTTTAGCATACTTGATCGCAAATATGAGTATTGATACTTTTGTGACTGAGTATATTGTAAACTTTATAATTTTTGTCTTGTTTTTCACTTGTTTTGTCATGCGACTTATTAAGAATTTACTTAGCCGATTAGTTGAGAAAACGATACACAGAATATTTAGTGCTACTTACGTTCATCAAAATTTAGGGTATATGAATATTCCTTAAGTCCGTTTTCAATATCTTGTACTGATTCAGTTATTTTAATATTGCCTTGTTTTTTTAACGCCAATCCGTCTTTTACCCATGTTATTTTCGGTTGAGGGTCAGCAGTGAATACGATAGGAATCGCTAAAGAATTTCCCTTTTTAGCCGTAATGTCACGTAATCCACTTTTTAAAATAGGTTTTCGATAATCCGCAGCACCTGACGAAAATTTCTATTTTATTGCAAAAGCATAGCATTTAAATAGTACTTTATATTTACCAGATAAGGATAAAACACCTTGCAGAGATTTTTCGCCACATTTATTTTTAATTATCACTTTATATTCACCAGCGTCGGAGAGTTGCAGTTCATTTATTTCTAATCTATATTTATCCTGTAAACAAAAGTTAAAGTTTGAAACTTTTTAAAGAAATAATTCTTACCCCATCAACGGTTGTAGCAACACTCTGATCTGTTTGTATTTGCTTGCCATCATGATACCATATGGCTTGCGGTTTGGGAATGCCTGTAGCAATTATCTCATATTTTAATGGTACTGACTCGAAACTATGTTTTTCCAAAATGTCTGCGTGTTGGATCTCAGGAATCGCTAAATATCAATCAAATAATTCAAAGTTACAAAAAATTATTCAAAAGCATAGAAATTACATACATGTGTATGCATACATATTAAATTAAATTTGCATCGATGAAAATGTATTGATATTAGGAATTGATATTTAATAAAAATGGTAGCATTAAATGTGAAGATAAGTTTTATGTACGTACTAATATGCTTAGTATTTGTACCGAGTTTAAGTTGTAAATACCTACAGTATTGTGCTTGCCTATTGTCACAAATTTCATGGTGTCACTATTGTTAATTTACTTTTTATAAGTTTTATTTAATACATAGTGTGGTCTATAACAAAAGCCATATCAATAAAAGTTTAGAACAAGATACACAATTCTACGAAGTAAATAAATTTGAATGAAACAACATCAAATAATAAAACAACGATTGAAACCTGTACAAATTACCATAATACAATTTTCTCTTGGAGTTTGACTGCTTTATCAGAATCAGCTTAGCATGTTGAATAAAAATGTTTCAACCATTTGTATATATTATATTTTAATCGAAAATAATTTGAATTTCATAAATTATTATTTAAATGAATGAATGAATGAAGGTGCTAGAATAAAAGCAGTCAAAAGGAAGGTGGTATAAAAACTCTTATCCTACCATTTATTTCCGTTGCAATCTGTAATTTCTTAGAGGCCTGTCAAACCTAAATAGTGTGGTCTTTGGTCAAAATGCTGTTGATAATGTTAGTT